CCAAAAAAAAAAAAAAAAAAAAAGAAGAGAATTAAGCTAATGCATTCAGGTGCTCTGCATATTGTAAAATGCTACACAAATGCTGGTGATCATTATTATGATGATGATCTCTGGTAAAAGTTATTAGCTCCAACCTAATTATATATATGGTAGTAACAATTAACAGAGACAAGAAAAATTAGCCAAAACTTATAAATGAAATTGTTCTTTCATTAAATGCATAGACATTGCCAACTTGAAATAAGAACTTAAGGCATGTAGTGACTTTAAGGGAGGAATTCACACATACTGAGCACCTCCCACGTGCAAAAGACAGCCTGCATGTACAGGGAAGTCGGGTCTTTGCACATGTGTGTGTAAGTGAACAGCAGTGGAGATGGCATCGTCCAAACATCATCACTGCTAAAGACAACAGCTTCTTTAAATACATAAAACCTTCCAGAGCAAAGAGCTCAATCTAAATTATCTGAAGAAATGAATCAACACTATTCTGTACAATTAATGATCAGATGACTTCATAACCAAAATCCAAATTCCTCTTTATATCTATATTGGACAATATGTAAGATTTCTTATTCAATTATAAGGCAAATCAATGGGAAAATGTCCACTTAAAAGTTAAAAAAAAAAAGAAAAGAAAAGAAAAAAAAAGAACTTCTGTCCTTTAAATATCTTAATGTTTTGGGTAACTTCTACAACTTAGAGTTTGGTCTGGAATCTATTAGCTGTGTGATTTTGAGTAAGTTACTCAACATTTCTGTGCCTCAGTTATGTAAAATGGGAACAATAATAGTGTTTATCTATTAGGGTTCATATGAGGCTTGAAATGCTAATATATGTAAAGTACTTACATGTAATAAACTGCAACTGTTTACCATGACTATGTTGTTATTATTTAGAATAAAACTATTTTGAGAGGGCTTTTTTATGTAGTACACCAAGGTTGTCACAATTAGCTTAAGGTAAGAAGCTAAGTTGAACTCAAGGCCAATTCTGTGTCTGACAGATGTGAAGGGCAGGTCCTGAAAAGGGCTTGAATAATCGGGTTATAGATGTTTCCACATCTACATTGTTCTTAATGCATTTCATTTACACAAAAGTATCTCCAAATATGTAATGCGTCATTTCTCTCTGACTGCTTTCACCATATTTGGGGAGTTTTCAGCTATGATTTTTTCAAATAATTTTTCAGTCTCTTACTTTTCATCCTCTTCTGGGATTACAACACAAATACTAAATCTTCTGTTACTGTTCCACAGGTCTCTGAGGTTCAGCTCACTACTTAAAATCTATTTTCTCTTTCTTATTTGAACTGGATAATTTCTATTAGCCTATCTTCAAGTTTACCAATTCCTTCCTCTGTCATCTCCATTCTGCTACTGAGCCCATCATCTTGTGAGTTCATTTCAGTTATCATATTTTTCAGTTCTAAAACTTCCATTTGGTCCTTTTTAATATATTTATTTCTTCTCTGATACTTCCTATTTTTTAATTTGTTTCAAGAGTGTTCATAATTATTTGTTGGAGCATTTTTATGATAGCTGCTTTTGTTGTTTGGTAAGCCCAATGTGTCATCATGATGTTGGCATCTGTCAACTGTCTTTTTTTCCACTTGAGATTTTTCCTGGTTCTTGATGAGTAATTCTGAACTGTATCTTGGATATTTTGAGTGTTGTAAGACCATGGTTTCTATTTAAATCTTCAATTTTAGTGGGTAGTCAACCTGTTTAGATTTTGAATGCATGTCTTGGCTTACTTTTGTAGACTGTGGTTCAAATGTCAATCTACTTTACAAAACCTTTGCATGCTATTGCAGTGATATTTTGCCTACCTCACCTGTATGTTACCCAGTTACCCAAATGGTAGGACTGTACACTACACTATCTGTGGCACCATGTGGGAGAGGTACACCACTTAGTTATTGTGGGTAGGGTGGAAGTCAGGAATGTGCCCACAGACTTAGTTGGGGAGGAGTGCTGTTTTGCATGTAACTGCAGGGTGGGCATGGAAGACAGAGTTCTGATCATGGTCTCAGCCGCCGCATTACTGCAGGTCAGGAATGAAGACAGGGCTTCATCCACAGATACAGGCTGAGAGGGTGCCGTGTCTACTCTAGGGTTGGGATGAAAGTCAGCGTCCTACCCGCAGTCTCAGCCAAGGCAGGTGCTACTTTCTTACTGCAAGGTAGGGATGGAAGCTAGGGCTCCACCCATGGACTCACAGGAGAGGACTGCACCCTTGCTACTGCAGAGTCAAGGTGGAAAACAGAGCTGCACCCAGACTCTGCTGCTACAGCCTCCACTGGGGAGGGGAAGCAATGTGGTTTTTTCCACAGTGTTCACCTACAGAATGATAGGTATGGCCAAAAGGGTTCTGTCCTGCTGGGCTGCCCTTTTCCCAATGCTTTGGATAGCAAGAGTAGGCGTTTCTTGGGGTTATTTTTGTCTTTGCCTGTTGGCATTTATGGGTTATGGGCTTCTATAGTGCCCAGGCTAGGATACATAGGAGGTTAAAACACACAGACATAAAAATCACCACCAGGGAACTTGCTCCTGGCTTGTTCCTCGAGTCCTGAGATCCCTAGTCAGCCATCCAATTTTCAGAGTCTTCTATTAGTTGATGTACATATTTTGTCCAGGGTCTTCTGTTATAATTATTGGGAGGAATGAGGCAAAACATATTTATCCATTTTGCCCAGAACTGGAAGAACTCTTACACAGTGATCTAAAAGTATAAAATTCAGCAAAGCTTCATAATCTAATAATAGTGTTGATGTGCCTCATACTTTGAGTGTGTACACACAGGTCACAGATTGAGTTGGAAAGGGCTCTTGGTAACAACCTATCCCAAAATCTTCATTCCACAGATGAAGATAATGAGGCTCAGACAGGCTAAATGACTTGTTCAAGTTACTCAGTCAGGAAGTGGTGGAAGTGAGATTTCAGTCTTGGATTGCTGCTTCCTGGCCTGTGCTCTTCCCGCTGAGTCATACATACACACTTCACCATGTACACCATGTACTCGGAGTTATTTTTTTCAGCATTGAAGATGAATTTGCTATTTTCAACCTCTTATTCTATAATGTATATTGTACCCATTATTAGTTGTATACACTTGAGTTTAAAAAAAAACACTGCTATATTTTCCCTAAATGAGTCTCCTTATAAATATCTATATATGACTAATTTGATAGGACTTTCAAAAAGCAGTGATAAAACCTAGCCATTATATTGTTTTGTCATATTCCTTCCCTGTGTATGAACTCTAAATGGTAATCTAGTAGAAAGCAAAAAAGTAAAATTTTGATGCATCCATATAAAATTAAAATATCTGAATGGCACTAATGGTCTGATATTAATATTAACTTTTTTCTTTTGAATTTTTGGAGTCATCTCCCATTTTAAACATCAACAGGCTCCTAAGCTTATTTATCTCATGAAGTGAAAACTAGATGAAGTGATGACCGAGTTCAGATTTAGGTATTTAAGGAAGAGGACAATGTTTTCTAAACTGATAGTCTCTCTTCTATTTGGAAAAGATAAAACTATGGGAAAATATATTATGATCAATCTTAGTAAAAAATCTCCAAGGCCAAATCTTTGGCAGGATTGGATAAGAAGTCCTTTAGCAGACGAAAGGATAGGGCAAAGTCATTAAAATAAAGCATCTTTTTATATTCTTAAGTTCATAGTGCAATACACCAGCCCTGAGCTTGCTCTGAAAATTGCTGCTTCAGGGACTAGCAGTATATCAATATTTCAGTTTGCCATTAAGACTTTATTTGGTTTTCATACTTATTTATTAAAGTCATATAACTCCTATATAGTTCCATTTCTCCGAGGGAAGCTCTACAGCACACACACACACACACACACACACACACACACACACACACACACACACACACACACACACACAAAAGTCCATAAAAGAGTTCATTTGTTGCATCTCTTGGTTTGGTAGATTATTTTTATGTTACCATTAAACCACATTTCCCCTCTCCCAATTCCTCAAGTTAATAAG